CACCAGCAAAGGCTGAAACTTCGGGTCTTCCCCTTCCCGTTTCCAGGCCAGGATGTGAACGCTGTCTCAGACCTCGTGCCTGATTAATCTGCTCTCCCGCCTGAGACAGAGCACTTTGGGTCAGACCTGCTCCTCTTTTCTCTTTACCACAGTGTCGTGTATCGTCACTGGGCAGTGTTTAAATGGCTGCTGCGCCCCCCCTGACGGTGGGTTGTGGTTTGGGGCACTGCAGGTGTCTCGAGAGCCTTTGGCACTGCAGAACCTCCCTGCCCCGGCACTGCAGGGTGGTGGGCACTGGTGGAGTCTGGATCTCCAGGTCCTCTGTCTCCTGCAAGCAGCACATGCAGCCGGAGGGAAGCCTCCCCCCAGCAAGTGCTAGTTTAGGCTCCAGCAAGAAGACATCGTGTCCTTCCCCAGCGCTGGGGGAAGAGAGGCGAAGCCGGGGGATTGCTTGTTGCGTAGGCATGACCTCTCGCTGCTTCCTCATTGCCTGCCCCAGAGCATCCTCCTCTCGGACACGTCCGTCACCCGGGGTGGGGAAGGGGATGTGACGGGTGTTCAGCTGTGGAACAGCCTGTCCTCTCTGGGGTGGAAGAGGCCCACGGGCACGTGGAAAAGGCGTTTGAGGCACTGACGTGCTGTTGCTACCATAGTTCTTGTGAGTGACTCAGGAATTCCAAATATTTCCTCTCAGATAAAGGTGACTGGGGGAGGCCAGAAATATCTGGACGTGTCTGGACAAGCCTGAGATCCCAAACACCAGGCCAGAGAGGTCAGAATCGGTACTGGGAGTGCTGGGCTTCAGGTGCAGAGCGGCCGAGGCCCAGGGCAGTGTGGGAACTGAGCAAGCTGCCTTTCCCTAACCTTCAGCCCGACCCCAGGACAGGGAGGGAGGATGCTCCTGCCTGTTTTCCCACTCCCCCAGGGGACACATCTGGGATCGCAGTTGTGCAGGGGCTGAGCTCTCGCAGCTCCTGGGGACGGTTTCCCCGAGGAAGGGCAAGGCGCTGTGCTCCGAGTCCCCTGTGGCCACCCCTGCGTCTCCAGCAGTTGCTGCTCTGTTCCCGGGGCAAGGAGAGGGGCTCGCGTCCCCTCCCTGCCGCGCGGGGCTCTTGTCGTGCTCTTCTCCGCCTGTAGCACCCGATAGCTCTCGGTTCACCGTATGCCATTTATCTCTTGTTCAGCAAACACTTCCTTTTCTTAGAAGTAAGGGCTTCAAAACACGCTTCTTGGAACTGCCTTTCCCCAAGCTCGGCGGCACATACCATCGAGAAGGCAGCGCGGAGGCTCGGCTGCCAGCCCTCCCCGGCTGCCAGCCCTGGCTGTCAGGGCCCTCTCCTGGTGCCTGCCCCGCTCCCGGCCCTGCGGAGAGGCTGGCTGGCTGCCCGGCCCCTTCCACTCCGCAGCCCTCCTGGGGACGGGGGGGACGTGCCCTCCCGCGGGTCAGGAGGAGCT